CCAGATACCGTAGCCCGGAACGTTAATCTGAGACATAGATCGACGGTTCGCAAGCTACTAGACGAAGAGGACAACCTGTAGAGCTATATTTTCTTTCAGAAATGATGAATGGCATCACAGTGCACCCATAAATACGTTTATTCGGGCCGAGTATCCGTTGTTTGGAAATCTATGTCCCCAGATACCGTAGCCCGGAACGTTAATCTGAGACATAGATCGACGGTTCGCAAGCTACTAGACGAAGAGGACAACCTGTAGAGCTATATTTTCTTTCAGAAATGATGAATGGCATCACAGTGCACCCATAAATACGTTTATTCGGGCCGAGTATCCGTTGTTTGGAAATCTATGTCCCCAGATACCGTAGCCCGGAACGTTAATCTGAGACATAGGTCGACGGTTCGCAAGCTACTAGACGAAGAGGACAACCTGTAGAGCTATATTTTCTTTCAGGAATGATGAATGGCATCACAGTGCACCCATAAATACGTTCATTCGGGCCGAGTATCCGTTGTTTGGAAATCTATGTCCCCAGATACCGTAGCCCGGAACGTTAATCTGAGACATAGATCGACGGTTCGCAAGCTACTAGACGAAGAGGACAACCTGTAGAGCTATATTTTCTTTCAGGAATGATGAATGGCATCACAGTGCACCCATAAATACGTTCATTCGGGCCGAGTATCCGTTGTTTGGAAATCTATGTCCCCAGATACCGTAGCCCGGAACGTTAATCTGAGACATAGATCGACGGTTCGCAAGCTACTAGACGAAGAGGACAACCTGTAGAGCTATATTTTCTTTCAGGAATGATGAATGACATCACATTGCACCCATAAATACGTTTATTCGGGCCGAGTATCCGTTGTTTGGAGATCTATGTCCCCAGATACCGTAGCCCGGAACGTTAAGGTAATGCCTATACCAACGGTTCGCAAGCTACTAGACGAAGAGGACAACCTGTAGAGCTATATTTTCTTTCAGAAATGATGAATGGCATCACAGTGCACCCATAAATACGTTTATTCGGGCCGAGTATCCGTTGTTTGGAAATCTATGTCCCCAGATCTCCCAACACCTGTAAAACCCCTACAAAAACGGCGTGAAAGACAATAGAAAAAAGGAAAAAAATCAAGGGAACAATATCCTCCCATAAAAAAAAAAAGGGTAACAAAATGCACCAAAAAAATTATAAACGGCATACGATTCTTTGAAATAAAAAGGCCCCCACCGTAGCCCGGAACGTTAATCTGAGACATACAGGGTGTTCCAAAAAAAAAGGGCCAAGTTTGTCCCCGAATAACTCGAGAAGGAAACATATTTCACCGTGCGTTACCATGCCAGAATGCTTAAATATGTCAGGAATAGGGAAATAACTCAACTTGATTTTTTCGATTTTTGGCGACGTACCCATACAAATGACACCCGAAAACTGTGCGTTCCGGCAAAAGTTCGTTTGCACTTTTTTGGATTGCTGGTGGTCCAACACTTCCAATTTTTACAGTGTAGGTACCTAAGGATCGCCCCTACGCACATCCGGAATTTTAGAATTTTCGAAGGTCTGGTTGGCAAGTTATAGCGTGCTCAAATTTAATATGGAGAAATTTCGTAAATTTCGAATATTACAAAAACCTATGGTGGAAGCCTCAAAATAAGCTGTTTTAGCATGTCTATAGGCTCGATACAATCCCACAAAAATAACAAAAAAATTTTTCAGAACCGCGAATTTTTGAGTTTTTCGACGACCCCCTGGTCATGGATTCTTTCGAGGTCACGAAACTGAACTTTGGAAAAATATTTCTAAAATTGCAGATAGAATTTCGGTGTTTGCTTTGCTTGGTTGTGTAGGACTGGGGTCCATCTATCATGTACACAATTTCTAGCTACCGTACCCCTTTGGAAGGTTGCTTTTTAGCGCCTCCAAAACGGTTGGTTCGTGCTATTTCGCAGATCTTTGTGCCAGTCTATAAAAATCAATTGAGAGGCTAGAATTATTGTCATAATTTTATTCAATACTACTTAATGGGCGCATACCAAGATTATATTTACAAATTTATTGGGCCATCCGATCTTTCCAAATAAATTCATGAAGAGCCCAAATATACCCGAATTCGAGGCGACGTAAAAAAATTCTCGAGGGTTTAGTAGCCCCGACTTTTCTGGCATAGACCAAGCTTGGGTAATCAACTAGAACCCATGCAAATACCAATCCTTTTCATGCCAAACGAATTTAGAAGAGCACCCCAAAGTCGGCTTTTCAAAAAACGTTATTTTCGGGTTTTAAATCAAAATTAACCATTAACTTCAGCCAGATCATTCCAGTATTCTGCTCTCATACACAGTTCGATGCGTGCTTTAATTGTATCCACCAAACCCCGGTGCCTTTTTCATTTTCAAAAATTCGGTTTTCGAGCCAGGGCGTCGGGTCCAAAATCGGGGCACGAGGGGGGTTTTCCTCTTTCCTTCATAACTTTGTCATTTGCCACAGGAATCAAGTAATTTTTTGTAGGTGCTCTTACAATCACCCAGAGAACAGTCTAGAATCGAAAAACCGTCACTTTATGGAATTTTGTCTTGGCATGCTAAAACGCGCCCCAGGCGGGTTACGGTAGAAAACAGAAAATCGCCGTTTTCTCGTTCTTTTCACCATAGAAACGTTTCGATCTTTCAGGAAAACAAATAATAGTAGTTTTCGGACCGATTCATTAAAATATTTAGAAATTGCCGTGGCTAAATTAAAAAATCAGCTTTTTGTATATTTTTCGAAAGTGTGTGGCCAGAAATTTGCTATATTTTGCCCATGGCTGCCCCTTACCATTGTTTACCGATGGTAAAATTTTGAGCGAAATCGCAGCTTACAATAAAAAGAAAAACGCGAAAAACGAAAGCTACAGTATCCCTCTGGGGCACGTTTTAGCAAGCAATATTAAAATACCATAGAATCAGGTAAAAATTGGTGTTGTGCTAAAGATTATCATTCGGAGACACCATTTGCAAAAGATCAGCCATGGGCAGCGCATTTGAAGCGAGTTGCCAATTAAAATGTAAAAAGATACAAAACAGTGAAATTTGTTTTGCTTGTAAAAAAAGAACTGGAGCTTCAAAAATTCTAATATTTGGCCATTAGCTTTCTACAAATGCCAACGATTTTTGGGCCAAAAATCAGAATTTTCCCACCACCCGTTCAAGAACGCACAATTTTCGGTCGTAACCAGCGTCAATAGTACAGTTGCGTACTCAAAAATCGAAAAAATCAAGTTGAGTTATTTCCCTATTCCTGACATATTTAAGCATTCTGGCATGGTAACGCACCGTGAAATATGTTTCCTTCTCGAGTTATTCGGGGACAAACTTGGCCCTTTTTTTTTGGAACACCCTGTAGATCGACGGTTCGCAAGCTACTAGACGAAGAGGACAACCTGTAGAGCTATATTTTCTTTCAGAAATGATGAATGGCATCACAGTGCACCCATAAATACGTTTATTCGGGCCGAGTATCCGTTGTTTGGAAATCTATGTCCCCAGATACCGTAGCCCGGAACGTTAAGGTAATGCCTATACCAACGGTTCGCAAGCTACTAGACGGAAGAGGACAACCTGTAGAGCTATATTTTCTTTCAGAAATGATGAATGGCATCACAGTGCACCCATAAATACGTTTATTCGGGCCGAGTATCCGTTGTTTGGAAATCTATGTCCCCAGATACCGTAGCCCGGAACGTTAAGGTAATGCCTATACCAACGGTTCGCAAGCTACTAGACGAAGAGGACAACCTGTAGAGCTATATTTTCTTTCAGAAATGATGAATGGCATCACAGTGCACCCATAAATACGTTTATTCGGGCCGAGTATCCGTTGTTTGGAAATCTATGTCCCCAGATACCGTAGCCCGGAACGTTAAGGTAATGCCTATACCAACGGTTCGCAAGCTACTAGACGAAGAGGACAACCTGTAGAGCTATATTTTCTTTCAGAAATGATGAATGGCATCACAGTGCACCCATAAATACGTTTATTCGGGCCGTGTATCCGTTGTTTGAAATCTATGTCCCCAGATACCGTAGCCCGGAACGTTAAGGTAATGCCTATACCAACGGTTCGCAAGCTACTAGACGAAGAGGACAACCTGTAGAGCTATATTTTCTTTCAGAAATGATGAATGGCATCACAGTGCACCCATAAATACGTTTATTCGGGCCGAGTATCCGTTGTTTGGAAATCTATGTCCCCAGATACCGTAGCCCGGAACGTTAAGGTAATGCCTATACCAACGGTTCGCAAGCTACTAGACGAAGAGGACAACCTGTAGAGCTATATTTTCTTTCAGAAATGATGAATGGCATCACAGTGCACCCATAAATACGTTTATTCGGGCCGAGTATCCGTTGTTTGGAAATCTATGTCCCCAGATACCGTAGCCCGGAACGTTAAGGTAATGCTAATACCAACGGTTCGCAAGCTACTAGACGAAGAGGACAACCTGTAGAGCTATATTTTCTTTCAGGAATGATGAATGACATCACAGTGCACCCATAAATACGTTTATTCGGGCCGAGTATCCGTTGTTTGGAAATCTATGTCCCCAGATACCGTAGCCCGGAACGTTGAGGGTAATACCTATACCAACGGTTCGCAAGCTACTAGACGAAGAGGACAACCTGTAGAGCTATATTTTCTTTCAGAAATGATGAATGGCATCACAGTGCACCCATAAATACGTTTATGGGGCCGAGTATCCGTTGTTTGGAAATCTATGTCCATATATCGTAGCCCCCCGACCGTTGAGGTACCGTTGAGGCATGCCGGGTATTCAAGAAGACGCCGAGGATTCAAGAAGACGTCATCTATTGAAGTAAAAGTCGTGGATTCCACAGGACGTGAAGATGTGAAAAGTCAATGCCCGATAGTTTATTCCAAAAAACTACAAGTGAACAGAGCGAGTAAATGGGGCGCACAAGTATATCACAGGCAAATTTTGTAATTGGGCTCCTGGGATCTAGTAGTAGTTGGCCTTGTAGAGGTGCTGGGAATAGTATTCGAGCACCGGTTCGAGGTCGTCGAACGTGATGTCGAGGCCGAGTTGCGGGAAGGACTGAAAAGAGGAGGTGATGATGCAACGTTGCTATCAGCTCACCAAGTAGCGTGTTCCATGCGGCTCCGATGAGGCCAGGAACTGCAAACGAAGATTTGCCATCATAATGTCGAAATTTCATAACGTCGAAATTTCATAACGTCGAAATTCACACTGTCGTCATTATTTTGCAGAGGATTCGAGCGTTTTTTCGGGACAAATAACTTATGTGAATTTGAACATTCTGCATTTTAACATTATAAAATTTCGACATTACGAAGCCTTCGACTTTCTCAACTCCTTACATGGTGGAGCGCCAATTCCCGCTTCGGAGTCGCACTGTAGGCCGGATCATTCCAAAACTGCTCGGCGCGGGCGTCGAAACGGCGCTTGTGGGAGAGACGCTGAAAAGGTACTTTTAGCGGGGGGGGGGGTTTCTTTTCAGTGAATTGTTTTCGGGATGGCTAAATAAAAAGCAAAGACTTTTGAATATTTTCGGACTATTTTTAGTGTTTTGTATGGACATTCATCGATTATATCGACAAACTTTGTGAAATGGGTTCTCGTTTAACGGTGGCGAAAACTAATTGGCTGTTTGGCCTATTTTTATTGCATAGAACCCGCCAATCATTTCTAATCCGTTTTTATAGTGTTTTTAGTAGTTTTTCAGTGCTAGAAAGTAACTTCAATTTTAAAAAAGCCATTTAAATCAGAAAACCGTGCAAATGCTATAAAATTGGTTTAGATGCCGTTATAAGACCGTGCGGAATTGATGAAAAAAAACTTTATTCCCCCGCTCCCCCGGCCCCCGCCGCTAACATTCCAGTACCAACAGGGGAGAAAGGCAGAAACTCAAACCTCTATAACCGTGTACGGTGGCGGCACCAGCCTTTTGCCGTTCTGGTCGTAGCGCATCGGGGGGCTCGGGCCGACCTGTCCTTGAGCGTGCATCACGGCGTTGGCATATTTGATGCACTCGGTCAAGGTAACGTGCCTATAAGAAGGAGAGCATAATCCCAAAGCCACGGGAGCAACCTGCGGAAGTTGTAGTCGCACGTGGTCAGGAAGACCAGATTCTTCCGGACGGCGATGAGGAGGCCCTCGTTGCTCTGGAAGGGGCAAAGTTGGTTCTGGACTGTTAGCGGGGGGGGGGAGGCGGAGGCGAATTTGACCGCGACGCGACACACCAGTTTACGGCGCGGCGCCTTGCTCATCCATTTAAAGACACATGTGCTCACCCCGTGGCGACGACGGATCAGATACGTCCTGGGGTCGCCGTGCATTTGGATTGCATCGGACTTTCCGTCAGCGAGATTTCCGGCGAGAAGAGCGACTTCTGAAATGGAGATCGGAGCGGATAAGACAGCATATACAGGATATCCCAGGTAAATCGACCTGCTTTAGCGGGGGAGGGCAGCAGCGTGCGATTTTGACGCATTGGATTAGATCAAAGGCTCTCCGTAGGGCGAGAAAACAAGCACTTTTCGTTTTTCAATAATACATTTTAATTCTAGACTTTTAGGACAAAATCCATAAAAGATCGATTTTGATGCGAGATATACATATTCAATTTTGTTTGGAAATCGTTTAATCCCTTTAACAGAATCTCAATTAGTTTTAGCTACTCCTTTAACTGTAATCACCGACTTGGCGTCAGCTTATCCCACTTGACCAGATCGGCGCCGCTGACGCAGTGTGAGTAGAGGACAATGTAATCGATCTCACGCTCATCACGTTCCCATTGCTGCAAAGATGGTGTTTTCAGGTAGCCCTACAGACGTTTTTTAGTGAAAATCGAGTTTCCGTGCGGTGCCAACGCACCGAATTTCTGCAAAATTTTGCGTTGATTCCAAATCTGTTTCAAAAACCGCGAAATGATCAGTAGCAAAATTAGAAGGTTTAAATTGAGAAAAAGCCTAAACTGGCCCAATTTCGGTAAACTTTTTGCCTGCTTCGCACTTTAAACCTTGACAACTTTTTAAAGCTGTTCGTTTCGTGGGCGTTGAAAACAGGTTCGTAATCAGCGCAAAATTCTGCAAAAGTCCCGTAAAAAACTCCATTGTCACTGAAAACGGCAACTTGTTAGTCTCTACCAAGATCAGAGTGGCAAGAGCCGGCTCGAGGATCTGTTCGAGCTGCTTGGCGAGGACGGCACTCCTTTCGTACGTCATCGTGTGCGGACGCTCTACTGAAATCCAAAACTATGCCAGCCATTGTGCGAGGACGTGACCACTTTCATGGTAATTTGCAGATTTTTAGAAATAAAAGCCTATAAAAATGATAACAATGCCAAAAATTTTTTTGACGTTTTGGGCAAAAATGTATGAAATAGCCAAAACAAGGTGCAGCTTTACAAAATTTCAAAATTTTAATAATTTTTACAACCAGCCGTTTTGGCTTCTACCAAATGCGGTTCTGGACTGTTAGCAGGGGGGTGGGACGAAATTTTCCCCTAGTAATTCCTTATTTATATATATTCAGACCATTTTTTTCAAAATTTTGTGGTATTTTGGCCAAAATTGTATGAAAAATTGCGAAAAACAGCTTAAAACGTTCGAGTTTCCAAGATTTTGGAAATATTTTTAAAACTTTCCAGGAATCAAAAACGAATAAGAACAGCTAAACCCCCCCCCCCCGCGAACAGCCCAATACCGCAAATTCAAGTTTTTGGCCACGGACCTTTCTTCTGGCTCATCCAACAGCAGGCGACGATGGACGGTGTCTTGACTTCGGCCAAAACCGATAGTTCGGCCAGCTGGTGGCCAACATGAAGCCAGAGAAGTTTCAGGCCCTGCAAAGATGGGTATCGTTAGCGCATTCTGGATCTTGCCCATTATCGGGGGGGGGGCTAGGAGGACACAAAGGTATTCCTTAGAGTTCAATTTTTTAATATAATACGCAGAAGTTTTTCGATTCGGTTTTCTTGCCATTTATAGAAGTAAACACATTACAAATTTCTATTAAAAAAATATCAAAAATCCCGATTTTTGGGCCAAATATATAATATATATTTCCCAAATTTTTGTTATAGCTTTTATTATATAGTTACTAGGCATTTCTATACTTATCGAAAAAATGTTCGTCCCCCCACGATAATGCGAAAGAACCGTGAATCCATAAGCGCACCGGAAAACCCGTGATCAGCTGGTGGACGACGGCTCGCAGCTCGAGGGGGCCAGCGAGAGGGTTGGCATGCACGGCAACGGCGCTTGGGTTGAAAGACGCTAAAAAAGACGCGTCTTTTTTTGTTTTTAACGGCTGATTTTCGATATATGTAGGCTACCGGGGGGGGGGGACAGAACAGACAAGCCTTTTCAATATTTTCGTTATTTTCTTGGGATTTTTGTAATGCGATTCGATAGAGCATCGAAAAATATACTAAGAGTTTGGTTTTAGCTCAAAGCCTTGCAATATTAAAAAAAGTTATGGTGAAAACAAAAATAAACTTTCAAAACCGGATTCAGCGGCTGTTTTTCGACATTCTCGCAATTTTTTCGACGCTTTAACGACGCGATTTGCTAGAGCATCCAAAAATATCCGAAGAGTTGAATTTCAGTTCAAAATAATGTAATATAAATGACTTGTAACTAACCAATCTGTTGACAAATGTGCTCCTTTCGCGTCTTGATGTCGAGGATGATCATATGAGCGCGGAGGGTCGGGGCTTTGACGTACTCATGCAGGGCGGGCAAATTCCACTCGAAGCCGAACCCGTACTGAAATTGATCATTGGCAGAAGTTCGGGGTATCCTGTACCTCATCGAGTGTGGCATTGTTCAGCAAGATGAACAAATCCTGCTTCGCTGGCCCGATGCGGTCATCGCCCGGCCGGATGTACATGCAGCGGCCCTCATCGGTCAACGTCAGGAAGTAGTCGTCCTTGAGCGCCCCGGTATATCTAGACGCGTGATTCAAAAACTGCCTAACTTTTTGTATTTTGTATTTACATTTTGAAAAAGCCGAGATTTCGGTCAAAAAATCGACCATCTTTGACCAGAAAAACGAAATTCTTGAGATTTTGAAAAGAGTTTTGTGAAGTTTTACGTTTAGGAATCCTAAAAACGATTTAGCAACACTTCCACTATTTATATTCGGAAAGTTAGATCCAAAGAAAAAAAGTTGGTCCCCCCCGATAATGCAAAAGAGCGCTACCCACCCATACTCGTCGCCGTACACGAGCAGGTATTTGGACGCCGAATCCCAGCTGCCGGGACACGAGGTGATCATGTAGAACCTAGGATCGTTAACTCAACGATGTTCAAGGAGCACCTACGTGGCGTCGATACCCCTCGTGCGGTAGTGATGGTTGTTGGAGATGTCCCACACTCCGCCCCATCGTTTCGGCGAGTTGGTGATTTGCTCCTGAATATACAGAGTGTCTCAAAAGAACCTCCCTCGGAATTTGGCCGTCTTCAATCCGATGGAGACCAAATTTTTACCGGCGATGGATACCCGTAAAAGCTATGTGCAGCCAAGTTTCTAAGCAAAATATTCTAAAACAAAAAATTTATATGGAAAATTAAAGTTTGTTTTCCCGATTCCACTAGGATTTTGACGGATTTTGACCTCGAAATGCTTAGCAAAATTGAAGAGGGAACTTTTTACACCGGGAGAAATTTTTTGCTTTACGAAATGGACGTCTAAATTCTGACTTTTCAGCTCTTTTTATGATCAAAATTGGTAGAAACCGACCGGCAAATGACCATTTTTCAGCCAATTACTCAAAATCGGCATGTTAATTGTGAAAACAGAGCCAAAAATGAGTGCCAGCGTTTCCAATAAAAAAAAGAGTGCCAGAGTTTCCAATAAAAAAGGGTGTTTTGGTGTTTTACAATATTTTGCTTAGAAAATTCGACTGCAGATACTTGTTATGGGGGCCCATCGCTGGTAAAATTTTGGTACCGATCAGATAGAAGACCGCCAAATGCCGACGATAATATCTATCGAAAACTCTCGACTCAGCTCCGGTACCTGCGTCCTATTTTCGTAACCCCGGAGTTTTCAGCATTTAAAATTTTGCGAAAAACGCAGATTCTTTGATTACAAGGGGTTTTTTACAACAGTCAAAATTTATGGATTTTTACGCCTTCTGCCACGATGCCCAACGACTGTTTTGTTGCAAGTCATTTCAGCTTGGATAGCGCTTAAACCGGTTAAATCGTTTTTGTATGAAAAATGCCGAAAACTGAAAAAATTTCCCGGATTTCAGAAAAAACTCGACTCGTGTTTCCGAGCGCTTTCGATAGATGCCAAAATCGTAAAACCGACACATCTGCCCTCCAGGTCAAGATAATACCTTGAAATAGCGGTGCGCATACGCCAAGTTCAGCAAGTCGATTGGGCTGAAGAAGCTCAAAAACAACAGCCACACATCAAGCGGCATGCGAGTGAACTGGTTGAAGGTGAGGAGCTGGTTGCATGGCTGAAAATGTGCGTTTGCGGGCGGGATTTTGTAGGAAATACCTGAAGCAAGCTGGGCCCAGCCTTGACGACCGCTTCGTCGGATGGCGGGAAGGAGATGGGTGAGGTGGCCGCCTGAGATTTTGAGAGTTTATCACAAACGAATCACAAGTTAGTACGTGTTTTTAGCGGGCTTCAAGCAGAAGCACCCAGAGTTTGTCGTCGGTGCCGTGGGGATGGGCGACAATTCGGCAACCTGGAAGGTTGCAGGTTCTGTTCGTTAGCGGGGGGTTTTATGGAGGGGGGGGCTTAATGTCACAAATTTATCAATATTTACTGCGTTTGGGGGGACTATATTATCGTGACCGGATCCTACTATATATAAAAAAATAGTGTTTGTGTGTGTGTGTGTGTGTATATATTTGCATGCACTTCCGTTAGGATGTTCCGCTCCCTACAGCCTCAGGGAAGGTTTTGGAAAGGGAAGAAACGACAATAGGTTTAAGATGGTCCGGAATCGACTGCACACGCATAAAAATTTTGAAAAAATTGCGGTTTCGCTATTCAAAATAGGTTTTTGTAAAAAACCCTGTTTGTTAGGGGAAATTAGCATACGCCGGAAGTAGGTAGAGCCTATATAAAGGGACAGAGGAGCCGTTTTTCACTTTTTTTCTTGCTAGAATTCAGGAAGAAACATGCAAATTAAGGACTTTCACAGGTCCTGGACGGGGCCAGGGTTGAAAAGACGCGAAGCGGTTTTTCAACCCTGGTAGAGTATCAAAAAAATATACTAAGGTTTTTTGGCTAAAGTTTACTTTACTCGCCCCCCGCCCAGCCGAGAAGTTCTGGCTCTAACTTTTTTATTTTACATTATTGTAGGCTCAAACAAAAAATTCTTAGTATATTTTTCGAAGCTCTATCGAATGCCGTGACAACAATTCCGACAAAATAAGCGGGTGCTTCCAGGTTAACAGAGGGCGGTGGCATCTTTTTTGTTTAGCCTACATCGGCCTAGTGACAAATTTTAGTATATTTTAATTTTTTTTTAGCAGTTTTCGATAACAAAAATTATAACAACATTTATCCTGCTGTTACGAGATCTAGGGTTATAGCATGCTTTTAACCATTTGCAGATAGTTAGATCGAAAACCCCAAAATGTTCAACGTGTTATATGACGTTTTTCTCAATTTCTCCCCTCCCCCGCTAGCAGTTCAGGACCACTTGAAACGGCGCACAAGCCTATGAAAACGGTCAGCTTTAATTAGTCGACCAGCACGATATTTTAAAAAAACGTACGCAACCGCCCCCGATAACCTGGAAGCACCAATACGCCCACCACCCCCCTTCCCCACCAAATCGGACGAAGGCGGAAAAGAAACTTGAAAATAACCTTGCTGACGCCATCCTCTGTGTTCGTCACCTTGCCGGCGTCGCAGGTGAGTTCCATGGCCTTCACCGAGTAGTTGAAGCACCACCGGGGCGGAAGACAGCGAGTGGAAAATGAATAAAATATGGGGAACTGGCTGTTTTGCGTATGGTTCATTCAAATCAGAAATGTAAACTTTGTTTTTGTGGAAGCCCAGGACCCAACGCTCAGCAGCAGCCGCAGGTGGAGAGAGAGGTAGGATAAGAGAGAGAGAGAGAGAGAGAGAGAGAGAGACAATCTTTTGATAAAAACCTTTTTCAGTCTCAAGTTCCCGGAATGAGTGCCGACCCAATCCTGTCCGCCTACACCTACACAAAGAGAGAGACAAAGAGATACAGAGAAAAGAGAGAGACAAAGATACATAGAAAGAAAGATAGAGAAAAAAGATACGGAGAAAGAGAGATCGAGCGAGATCGAGAGAGAGAGACAGCGAGAGATAGAGATAGAGAGAGAAAGAGAGAGCGAGAGAGAGAGAGAGAGAGCGAGATAGAGAGAACGCGAGCGAGAGCGAGAGAGAGCTAGAGAGAGTGAGAATGAGAGGGAAAGGCTTGCTTTACCAGGATACTTAGTGGATGTTGCAGTATCCAAAAATTTATTTTATCACAATAACTAGTCGCCAGTCCTCCAGCTCTGGTTGTTAAGGAGCCACACTGTGCTGGACGATCGCGATGAGTAGAGTCGTATTTTTCGGTGCCGATCATCGCCTACCTAAAGGTAAGAGCTTAAATAGGAACTCTGGACTGGGGTTTCGACACAATTTACGTCCAAAAAAGGGCGATCTCACCATTTTCAGGTATTAAAAGAGTCGAAATTAGTCAAAATCGATGGAGTTTGGCGTATTTTCCGGTCTTTTAGGCGACCAACAAAACCTAACGCCCTCTCAAATGTAATTCTACTTGGAGAAAATTCAGTAAAACGACAGAAACTCTAAGATTCGATTAAAGGAAGTTCGGTAAGTCCTGTTTAGAGCTAAAGCACCCACCTACTTGGCATCTAGAAAATTCCTTGAGCTCGTCGCACATGAGTTTGAAGGTTGAAGCCAGCCACCTGAAGCGAAAGATTAAATTCGAAATATGACACGACATACCTTTAGATGAGCGCGCACGAATCCATGCCGCTGATGTAGATATGGCGAATTGGGTCGCCCAGCGTAGCATGATGGTGGTCGAACGCAATCTTGTACGCTGTTGCCTTCGCACCGAATAGGTCCTCCTGAACAAATTCGTTTAATGAAATTAAATTTAAATTAAGTTAAATTAAGGATTTGCCACTTTTGGGCTGCTAAAGAGCTGCCAGGAAAACTGGGATTTTTGCACTTAAAATACCGAATATCTCGATCTTTTAAGAAAAAAACTTTTTATTTTACTTTGTTGTGTTGTGCTGATATAGGGTCTAGCTTGCAACTCGCAAGAGCAGTTTGTCAGCCTAAACCGGCTGCAGTTCTGCTTAGGCGTTGGTTCCTTTGAAGCTCTGAGGGCTAGGCGTGGTTGCCAAGGGGGGAGTGGAGGTGGGACTTTGTAATGCCAGATAGTTTACCTTCGCCCAAAATTCAATTTGACAAAAATGCTGTTTTAGCTGTGGCTTTCGATGTAGTAACATTGAAAAAAGGTTTTGGCACTAAAGATAAAGCAGAAAAGTGATTTTGAGGATGGGATTTTCGCGCATAAAATACCGAATATCTCTGCGAAAACATGGCGAGGGCAAAAACTGACTCCAGATTCGGAATCGGCGTAAAAAACTGGTGGAACTAGAGGAACTATCTGTCATTACAAACCCCACTTGCACTTCGCAACCTTGTTAACCTTGGTAACCCTTGTTAACTTTTCCAGAAGCTTAAAGCCTAAAAACGAAGCTCGAAGCAGCGTGCAACTGCCGAGACAAATTTTCAAAATGGCATTTTGGGTTTGAAAAATTCTAAAAATGTAATGTTCAAGCTTTTCATTGGGATCCTGGAGCACCCCAGCAGTGAGCTCCTAAAAATCGGTATAATCGCGCAAAATAATGCAGCTGCCGTATTTCGCTTAAAGGGCACGTTCAGGGACGTTTTTTGGAAAAAAAGCAAAGAGCTTTGCCGCGGCCGGGGGTCGAACCCGGGCCCCCTGCTCGGGAGGCGCGGATGGATACCAGTCAGCCACAGCTACAACCTGGCGAGGGGGCGAGGGGCGCCCAACGCTGCAAAGGAGGGGAATGGCCTGTCACAGCACGGGCAGGCAGTCCGCGCGGTCCCTTACGTCCCATAGGGTGTACACGTTGGGACGAGTACACGGCCCCTCCCTGAACGTGCGCTTTAAGATCAGGGGTTGCCTTGCGTTGTAAAAATCTTGGGATCAACGTATTTCTGGAGATGTTTGCTAGGGAGGGGAATTTCTGGGGAAAGCAATGGTTGCCAAATAATTTTAATATGGTAGCTAGGATCGATTCCCACAAAAACCCTATGAAGGAGGAAATAAATTTCGGTCCAACCCGTGAAATGGACTTACCCATCACGATTGTGACTCCGGTCAACGCCCTGGCTCGGCCGATGTTGAGGGAAATTAGCCCACTGTGCAGGCATTCGTGACGTTTCAGCTAAACCGGAATTTTGAAAAATTAGATCCAAAGAAAAAGTTGGATCCGCGCCCCGATACACTTATGCGCGTTATGTTGTGCACTAACAAATGTAATAATAACTAGTAATAATTCAGCTTTGATAATAAAACTATGATTTGTTCAGTCATTAAGCAAGTTTTTGGTTTGATGAACGTCAGAAGTCTAGTTTTATAGAATTGTAGAAGCTTCTTTCAACGATTCATTATAGACTGATTACGGTCATTACGATCGCCTTTATGCAAATTATGACACATTTTCTACACTATTTGACAACCACAAAAGGCGGAAAATCCCTCGCTGAACCTCGGATTAACCTGCTGCTTGCATCTTCTAGCTTTATCTCACTTTAATCCGTTTACTTACATGCCAGCTGAAACGTCTTGGCAAATGATTGAATATGACAGAAAACGTTCTAATACCTTCACGTGATTACCATCACGTATTCGCTGTATTTGTAGTCCGCGACCCGTTCTTCGTATTTTTCCAGCGGCTTGTTCGCCATAATCTTTTTCCGGCACGCCGCTTCATACCCTCTCTGTTTGGGCTTCTGCTCCTCGAGCCTCGCGCTGAAAAAAACGGATAAAGCCTAACGGAATTGACCAGAACCAAAATCCAGTTTAGCCTATGCGAAGGGCTTCGACCCGGTATAGAATGGAATTATGCAATAACTAAACAAGTGAACAATCTACCTTTGATCGCTGAGTTGCCGGGGCTTCTGACAGAACGGTGGCCATAACCGCTGTCTTGGCCTTTTCCTTATCCATATTGAAGCAGAGCATTGTCGGCGGCTGATTCCGGGTGCAGCGCTCCTGTCCTCAACGGTCTAAAATTCGGGCATTTCAACGTCCATCTCCAAGTTCATATCGGCTAGGGCGTCTGCCGCGGCTGCCACGGCTTTTTCTGGCATTTTTCGCTTCCCCATCTTCAAACATCGCGGCGAAAAGGCGTTTTCGCCAGTCCTTCATCTCCTCCTCCTTCTGTTGCTGGTACCGAGCCTTGGCTGGAGGATATTCGAGGCGTAGGCGCACACGAACACGCCGCAGTCGCTCGAGTTTTTCTGCCCGCCCACCTAAACGCACAAGTAATAAAGCTAGAACCATATGTATATCTGCATGGAATTGATCAAGATAGGTGGAGCTGATCGTTGATTTTGGGTATTTCGGTTCGAACAATATCCTTTTAAGAAAGCACCCTAACACCTCCCCCCACTCCGGGCCAATCAACTATAATAAAAAAGTAGTGGTATCCGTCTCTCTGAAGCCGAATTCAACTCGAAGGGGAAGGGAGCTAGAGCTTAGGGCTTTTCGGATTTGGATAGAGCGTGGTCAGAAACCCCCAAACTGATGAAAAAATTATGAAAAAGTTGTCAATTAAATTATTAAAATTAACTTTGAAAGTTTTTCCTTAGTAAAAGGGGTGGGGGACGGAGGTTTGCGCGATTTCGGACATAGTGAGCCAGGTGGCGCGCGTTTCGGCGAGGGGGACGAGGCGAATGGGTTAGCTCGAAGTCCAGTCGCCAGTAAGCGGCTGGTCATAGAAGAAACACGGTATGTTACGACAAGAATGTAATGGTACAAAATGTTTGCTTTGCACAGCGGCATTAAAGCGATTAATTAAGCTTGCGGTAGATTTAGAAGAGTGGAAGAGGGCCAACGTGTGCGGAGGATGCAATGCGATTCAACGCGTTTCGTAATCTTGAAAAAGAAGGCCTGTTGGTCCCAAAAATAATGCTATTCCGCCGATGACTAGGTATATTAAACGCGGCAAATCTTGTACAGTACGTCTTTTCCGAGCCCACCTGGACATATCAGCTATTTGTAAGTCACGGAAAGCTAAAAATCCAAGCAAGCAAAACCGGACCGGGTTGATAAATTGCCGCCATTCGCGCTGGGATGTCAAATTGTTGGACGTGCCTACATAGCGTTGCGGAACAATATTTGGCGCCTGGAATCCCTGTCCTCGCGCCCTTCTTTCGCAGGGGGGAATCGATGACGGAGTCGTAGAGCTCGAACAGGCTCTCCTCAAAATCCACGATGAGCAGGTACCAGTGCTAGTCTTGGCACACTGGCCAGAATAGCTTGCCCTTTTCCTTGATGGCTCTTGACGCTCGGAGCTCGGCACGGTTCTTGCTGAAAAGGTCATTATTCCGCTCTGACATCAAGACTGTTTTCAGATTATATACGTAGTTAGTTAATTCTTTAAACGAAATGGGCAAAACAGATAGAAGCGAGAGCTGGACGCGGGAGCTAAATTGTGAGCCTCTCTCAAGAGCAGGATAGGCAGGGCGATATTTAGATCTCCTGCAAAGCTTAGGCTTTTGTGTCGGGCTCTTTTGCAAAAGAGCGGCAGCTGAACCCGGGTGCTGCGAATTAGATAGTTTGTCTGGAACGCAAAAGGTAATGAAATAGAGACATGTGGATTGAATTTTCATTGGAATTTGTCCGGGACCGGGCTCAAGGGCCGGAGATGGGCGGGTCTCAATATTTCTCTCCTGTTCATGAGCGTGGCTCACAATTCAGTCAGCGCTCTCTTTCGTTTTCGGTTTCGTCTGTGCGACCACCTACTTTTTTGTATGGGAAATGGTAAAAAACAGAAAACATTAACAAACATTAACAAAAAACATTTCACAGGCACGTAAATGATCGTCCATTGGTAGTAGTGCATTAATGATATACAGGGTGTCCCAAAAAAGGATCCACTGGACAACGCCAATCGTGTCTGTCTCTGCCCTTCGGCTAACCACTGACCAAGGCCACGATTTTGACCTCGATCTGGGTGCCTGACCTGGAAGCCATCTGCTGAGCTGCCATTTTGCCGTCGGACAGATGATTAAACTAGCCAACGCACTAAAGGCAGGAGCACCGGTCTCCATACAAATAAACCGTTTTTGCTTTTAAATGCGCCTTACTTAGTAAAACATTAAAAATTATACCTGTATTATTAAAATACCTTACAAAACTACTTCGATACCTTCCTGCTGGCTTCAGATACCCCCCACAGCCGAAACCCCCTTCAAAAACTACCAAAAACCTTCCTGCTGGCTTCAGATACCCCCACAGCCGAAACCCCTTAAAAAACTACCAAAAAACCTTCCTGATGGCTTCAGACACTCCCCATAGCCGAAATCCCCTTACAAAACTACTTCGATACCTTCCTGCTGGCTTCAGATACCCCCCACAGCCGAAACCCCCTTCAAAAACTACCAAAAAACCTTCCTGCTGGCTTCAGATACCCCCCACAGCCGAAACCCCCTTAAAAAACTACCAAAAAACCTTCCTGATGGCTTCAGACACTCCCCATAGCCGAAATCCCCTTACAAAACTACTTCGATACCTTCCTGATGGCCTTAGATACCCCCCACAGCCGAAACCCCCTTCAAAACTACCAAAAAAAATTATAGCGAACGAGCACGGGGTACAGGCCTGATATTAGTGCGAGAAACCCCTTCGTGCACGCGCCTTCATATCTGCGCAGATGCGGATATCACATCTGCCATATGGGGGCAGTGTTAGACACGCAGACAACGATTGGCGTTGTCCGTGGCGTCCCCCAAAAAAGATCCCCCAAAAATTTGAGCCAGAAGGCCCCTACGGAGCTGAAAATTTGCACAGAGATAGCGAAGCCAATTTCCCATGTTTATGGAAAGTTTCAGCCCGATCGGTCGTCTAGTTTTAAAGTTATAGCAAAAATACTTTTCATTTTTATTTTAATATGGGATCTACGCAATTTTCATCAAAAATATGCGTTTTGTTTGCATTTACGAGCCGATTTTGCATAAATTTCCCCAAAAAGTGTCAGTTTCTTGCTGGGGCATGGAGAAAACGCTTGCGTACCAAGAGTAAAAAGCATGTGAAAACATCTGTTTTATCGATCCAAACTACGCCTTATTGCGATCCACATTCGAATCAAAAAATTTCTCTACAAGAGAGGCTCTTACAAGTCGACTGTCCTATTAAAATAAAAACGTTAGGCATCGTGACAGATGACTTCCCGTAGGCTCAAATATAAACTTAAAATTGCTAGAACTTTCTAGATTTCGCTATTTGGGAAGAATTTAATACAGGGTCGGAATCAGCAAAAAAATTCAATTTTAAAATTTCAAAAACCCATAAGGTGGTTGCTTACCTGTTGAATTCGGGGTCCTCCAACAAATGCCAGTCACCAGAGTCGAGGGTCTGCTGGCGTTCTGGATCGGCGACTTGGAGTTGGGCGAAAAACCGGTTTATAACCGCGTCGCTGATGTACTTGCCCACTGAAAGATCGTGGTTTACAATACGTCGGTTTTGGGTGATATCAGAGGCTAAAAACGGCAGGTAGTTTGAACCCTTTTTATTTATTGTATCTTCATCGTACCTAGCCTCGTACCTAGCCTATCTAGGTACGATGATGATTAGGCATGAACCTGGTTCTATCCAAGAACAAGGCGCGTTCAAATTTAAATGATAATCTCGAGGCCTTTCCGCATCCCTAGATCCCAAAAAGATTGCGCCTTATCACCCAGGAAAGTAGTAATATGCTCTCCCTGTTTTATTGTTTTGAGCAGCTACTTACTGGCTGCCACCAAAAATTCTAAACATCATAGTATTGGCACGTTAAAGGTAGTTAACTTGTTTCGCGATAGGGAGTTTCGGGACAAAGAGTTTTTGGGATACGAAGTTTTCGGGATAAAGAGTTTTGGGATAGAGAAGTTTCGGGATAGGGAGTTTCGGGATTGGAAATTTCGGGATTGAGGAAACACCCCCAAACCAGAACGAACGGATTCAAAACCAAAATGGAAAGGAAACAAGAGGCTTCACAATTAATTAGAGAAATGAGCCCCGTCCCAAAACTAAAAGTTTCAGTCATTTCTGTTCAGTAACTTCCAAGATAGTTTTTCGTGGTCGGCAACTTTAACACCCATTTAAACCATAAAAATAACCTTTTTGAACTTTCAAAACTATGCAGCCCTACTAATTCGAACATGTTCTTTCCGATGGCATCAAAAAATGGGGCCGGAAAAACTGTGCCAAGGCATAGCTGGCGGACGGCGTTTTAAAACATTTTTGAGAGAAATCGGGCGAGAGCGCAAGAGAATGAGAGAACGAAAGCGAACGAGTGCTAAAGAACTAGAAGGAAAAAATAGAGGGCCAGCCAGAGAGAAGCAACAGCTAAAACGGTAGAGGGCCAGTGAAAAAGCGAAAGCGAAAGAGAGATAGAGTAGACCGGGGCGGGAGAGAGAGAGAAGAGAAAAACGGAAAATTGATCTACTAGGGAAGAAACCAACGTGAAAAATTAGTACACAAAAACCAGACGTTCAGTAATATTTGAAGCAAATCTGTAGTCTGACTGAGCACGGGCCCAGAAGCGGCGGCGTCACGAGCCGCGCGACGGTTATGATCTGCCACTGCGGGCCCGGCGTGGGAAAATCGGCTCAACCCAGACACAGATTTGAAGGCAGGGTGTTGTTGGGGGTGACTAATCGTTTGGGAAAATTTCTAGCTAGAAAGTCCAATTGTAGTGATTGTAGAGATGATGAGAGAGAGAGAGAGAGAGAGAGAGAGAGAGAGAGGGCGGAGCGAGATGGTGAGAGGGCGGAGCGAGATGGAGAGAGAGCCAAAGAGAGGGGGAGAGAGAGCGTGAGGGAGAGGAAGCGCGAGAGTCTAGCCAAAATTTAAAAAATTAAAAAGTAGTAGTAAAATAGAATAGTATAATCATTAGTAGAATATCTATGTGCAAGTGATGCAATATTTCATTCTTTAGCAACTTGAACGCGCGAAGAAGTTAGAAATTTCCGATTGAACCCGGCCTCTGCTGATCGGCGTGGCCAGCAACGAAAGGCCCCTTTTACGAACCGCTCGCTAAGGGGATGAATTTTAATACAGCCCATTTCCTAACATGAGCAGAGGAAGGGGCTGGGAAATGGCAGCTTTGCGCTTTTCTGTCTACGGAGTAGGGTTACGGCATATTTTTGGGCGCAGTAGTAAGAGAAAGAACGGGAGAGAGAGAGACAGAGATAGAGAAATCGAGAAAGCTTTTGAGAGCTACCAAAATCGTAGAAATCAGCGAATTCCCTAAAACACTAGAGGGCACATTTTTCCTGGCATCCAGTAATGACAAATCCACAACAACAAGCTGACGAACTAATTTAGAGCCAAGTCAGCGTTTTCACAAATCGATTTATGATGGTGGGGTAGGTGGGATGGCTCAAAAACAGAGGCAATACCGGGCCTGATCGAGAACGAGCCCCGAGGATGGCGGCGCGAAGAGGAGCCCGGTATGTATTGATTTGGCCTGTGGACCCTCTTAGGAAAATCAACGCCCACCCCAGACACACATTTCGAAAACAGGGTGCTGTTGCGGTGACTAATCAAATCTGAGAATTTTAAGGAAATGTGTAATGGCTGGCAGGGAAAACTAGCTGAAATATGGGTCTTTTTAACCAGGATTTGAATAGAATCACAGATAGCTACCGGCATTGCCATTGTATGTCTATAATATGATTGTATTTGTGTATGGCCTAGTGGGTCTTGAGAAACGTAGAATACGGCTGTCGCCCAACTCGCAACCTCGAAAGTAATACAATTTCTCGGATTCCAAGAATAGCCAGCATTTTCAAGTTTCTTCCGATAAAACATTTTGATAAATAAGATCCGGTTGAACGTTCCTCTTACTACTTTAAAGGGATGCCCAACCTTTTCGCGGCTTAAAAAGCAAAAACCATGGCGCGGGCGGGGGTCGAACCCGAGACCACCGTTTTGTAGGCCTGGATGCTAACCATTAGGCGATGTTGGCAAGCCATTGGGTGGGATGGGGACGCCACAAGAGGGAAAGGTGGCCGAATTCTGTGCCCATTGTCGCACAAAATTCGAGCGTCATTTGTACTGCCCGGAATCCATAACTATATATTTGCCGCCAAAACCTTGGGTATCCCTTTAATCCGAATTTCGGGTTGCGCCACCATAAAATCGTATTTTGCACTTTAGCGACGGGAAGGCAAGGGCTACGGTATATGGGGGTGAAGGGGCGGAGAGACGCTTTGTCCGGGCGGTCCAATGAAAAAAGGCGAGGGCCGGTTCCATGGGGGAAAAGAGCCGAAAAATATGGAGACAATAGGCGCAAGGATTGAAAAGACAAATGGATAGAGAGAGAAAGAGAGGAGAGGGGGAGAGACAGTGGGAAAGAGAGTGAGAGAGCGGGATGGAGAGGGATTGAGTCAATGGGTTAGAAAGAGAGAAGACAAGAGAAAAGAGAGTTATTGAGTTGCCCCTCGTTCACCCCAAGACGATCGGTCTGATCTGGTAAGCGAATTAGCAATTCCGCGATCCGTTGCGCGTAGAGAGAGAGAAAGAGAGCGAGAGAGATAGAGAGCGAGAGAGACTGAGAATGTGATGAGTCCTGTTTAGAGATGTGAATAAACGAACCTTTATATTTCCTTATCGTTTTTCCCCATTCTTGAATCGTTTAAATTTATTGCGTCGGAAGTCGAACGTCTCGACTTCGGTATAGCTGCCTGATACGCAGGCAATCATAGTCTTGGAAAAATCATCCAAGTCGAGGCAGGACCTGAAATTGGAAAATTGCAACACCGATTCAGCATTGCGTCGGGTTCGAATAAGGCCACATTTAGCATATTTGTGTGAGAGAGAGGGGAGAGCGAGGCAGCTAGAAGGCAAAAATCCTACTATCCTACTATTATATAAAAAAATAGTGTCTGTGTGTGTGTGTGTATATTTGAATGCAACTTCCGTAAGTATCTACCGCACCTACAGCCTCAAGGGAAGGTTTTTAAGGTACGTATGATACGTCATTAGGTGCGTAAGGCTCCCGAGATGAGTGCACACATATAAGATTTAGGGAAATCGGCTGTTTTCGCTATTAAGAATAAGTTTTTGTAAAGATTTCCAAAAACCTCTTTGTTAGGAGGCAATTTGCATGCGCCGGAGGTAGGGAGGGCCTATATAAAGGGGCAGAGGAGCTGTTTTTCACTTTTTTTTTGCTAGAATTTAGGGAGAAGCATGCAAATTGAGAACTTTCGCAGGGCTGGACGGGGCCAGGGTTGAAAAGCCGCTAAGCGGTTTTTCAACCCTGGTAAAGGGCTAAAAAAGAGAACCAGTTAAAGAGCAAAGGAGCAACAGTTAAGACGACAAAAGGCTGGGAAAAGAGAAAGCGAGAGAAAGACAGAGAGAGAGAATGAGGGAGAGAGAGGGAGAGTGAGAGAGAGAGAGAGAGAGAGCGAAAAACAACGAGAGAGAGAATAGAAAATGAAAACTGAATTGTAATAGGAAATCAACATAAAAAGTGTACATAACAAGCAAGCACAAGAGTATTTGGGAAAAAAACTGTAGTCTGACTGAGCACGATCTCGGAAGCGGCAGCGCGATGAGTCGCGCGACATCTATTGATTTGGCACTGTGGACCCACCACCGTGGGAAAATCGCCCCATCCCAGACACACATTTCGAGGGCAGGGTTTTGTTGGGGGTGACTAACCGGTTGAGGAAATTTCCGGTGAGTGTCAAAGTGCAATTGTAGTGATTCAAATGAGCGGCAGAAAGCGAGAGAAAAGGACAGTGAGAGGGAGAATGTGAGAGAGCGAGAGAAAGCGCGAGAGTAAAGCGAAAATTAAAAGAATTCGTAGAATCTCTCGGTACAAGTGGTTCAATATTTTCATTCTTTAGCAATTCGAAAGCGCTGAGAAGTTAGAAATTTCTGATTCAGCCGGCCCTCTGCTGCTCAGAATGGCTTACTAACTCTAATACCACCCAATTCCTAACAAAAACAGAGAAAGAGGCTGGAAAATGGCAGCTTTGCGATTTTCTGTCTACGGAGTAGGGTTACGGTATATGGGGGAACCGGGGCGGAGAGAGCCTTTGTCTGCGGCCAATCAAATAAAAAAGGCTGGGGTTTTATTGGGCGCAGTAAGAGAGCGAGGGCGAACGTGGGAGCGTGAGAGACAGCGAGAGCCAGAGTGAGCGAGCGCGAGGGTGAGAGAGAAAAGAGCGAGAGAGAGAGAGAGCGGGAGAGAGAGAAAGTGAGGGAGAGAGAGAAGAGAGTGAGAGAGAGCGAGAGAGCGAGTGAGGGTCAGAGAGAGAGAGGGAGTGCGAGTGAGGGTGGGGAGAGAGGGAGAGAGAGAGGGAGAGAAAGAGAATGAGAGCGAGCGAGAGAGAGAGAGAGAGCGAGAGAAGGAGAACCAAAAATAGGGAAAATGGGCTAGCGAGAAAGAGAATGCAAGAGAGGATGAAAAACATGGGACGATCCAAGTACAGGACCAAAGGCTAACAAATTTCGTTGCCTGCGTCATTGATAGGTTTTCGAAAGTCTGACAAAAAAGAGCTCTTCGCCTCACACAGCTTTTGACTACCTAAAATTCGTAGAATCGTAGAAATTAGCGAATTCTCCAGGACGCTAGAGGGGTTGTTT